TTTACTTGTTCCTGAGCCTCACTTTGATTATAAGCGGAGATAACCTGGGGAATATTGCATCTCCGCTACACGCTGTAATTAAAAAATGCCCGGGCCGAATTTTCTTCCCAGTCCGGCCCTGCATAGAACAGTAAAAGCTAATAAGTCTTTTTGTACATCTTTTCTAACCATGCCTAGACTTTGTCTAATCACAGACTTTCCAATGCAGCTCAATTAGAAGTCTTTGCAAGGTAAGTGATCTGGGCAATTGTCTGCCTCTTGAGTTTCAATTCATTGAGCTAAGCAAGTAGGAAATAACATTAATGGCCGTCTGATTGACAATCAGGGGTGGCAAGTTTAATATATAAAAGTGCAAGTTTCTACTAAAATCTGCACTGTTTGTAAAATTAAATAAGATGACACACTCATCACACATAGATATATGGAGTGTACCTTTAAGCTATTTTTTCCCCATAATTATGAACTGGTTTTAATTTGTATTTATAGCATAGAGCTGGCTGTCCCAAGAGAACTAAAGCCAGGTGTATTTAACCTTTGTGTAATATGTGCACACACAACAGTCCTGTTTTGTTTAAAACCTTTAAAATATATTGTAGCAAGAGAGCAATTTTACGGATAATGTATAAATGTAACGTGTGGCGGGACCGTTGTCTGCTCATGAATTGCTGTTATAATCTGTGTGTTCCCCTACCCTTTAGTAGAAATGTGCCTGCTCCCAGGGACCACCCCGATACCTTATGTAGAATGTTGGTTTAGAATGTTCACACCTCACAACAAGGTGTCAAACCGCAGAGAGACCATTGGCGCGTGCCGACCCTGGGTGGACGCCATTTCGCACAGACGAACGCCAATCATGGGGAGCATTCATGGATTGTGTCTCATGAACAAGGGCCTCCCCAATCAACTAGAACATCTACAACTCACAACATAAGTGTGAAACCACAAGGGAAGTAATTAATGAGTGCTCCCGGGGGTGGCCGCCATTCGTATAGATGAACGCCATGCAGGGGGAGCATTCATATCCTGAAAGGAGACCCTTCCCTTGCCTGGTTTCACAGGGACCCCATGAACAGCGGCTGTTCGAGGCAGGTATCGTTGTGGGGGTCCCTGGGGATTGGTGTGGGCTCCCTTTGGCGACAATGGCCGGTTTGGCGGGCCATCTGTACCTGGGAACCAAAGAGGCAGGAAGGTTTCCCGCTCTGTGATTTCCAGGTACAGAGGCTCAAGGGAAGAAAACCCTGAGTGTCGGGCTTTCTAGGCCTGG